ATCTCTTAAACCACAGGCTTATCAGACTAAAGGGCATCTTTATGCATTTTACGCAGAGAGCAATTAAGTATATTCAACTTAGATCTAAGCTTCCGGCAAAAGGTACACTCTGAACAATGCGCGCATCTGCCTGTAGTCGGCTCTGACGTTAACTCACTCCACTGCGTTATTCCACCCTTTTAGCAGCTGCATGGGCACTGCCGCTGTGTGCTACCACTGCTCAGCCATTTCCAGAGCACGACATAGGCGCCGATGACGCAGACCAACTCCACAGGCACCTTACTCTGCAGGACCCTGCCAGGCACAACTTGCCACGTTCACAGAGAAGTCATTGCCAGTGGAAAAGTAAAAAAAAAAAAAAAAAAAGGAGCAGGGTCAGAAGACAAGTTTTTTTTCTCCTAACACCTCTTACTGATTAGAGGTAACTACTGAGAGAAATGGGCACCATCCGCCACCCAGGTCATATCTGGAACACAGCGGAAAGGAAAAAACGCTCCTGGTTGTGACCTGAACTACCAACTCCTGCCTCTCTTCTTTGGAAACATACAGCATTACGTTTTCACCCCTAAACCCTTAGAAATTACACCATTTCGTCAGCATGTCAAAGACCTTGTTTCCCCAAACTCTAACTGCTTATGAAGTTGTGCAATGTCAATTCTGCAAACTCACTAAAGCCTGGGGGTGGGGAGAGAGCACATGTGCCATCCCAGCAAACACAGTCCCACCCTGATCAGTACTGATGAAGATCTGCATATTTTAAGCTTAAGCCTAGCAAAATCTAGGTTTTTTTTAATGCATACTATAAAATACCAGACATTCAAAAAACCTCTGGGGCCTACACAGTTGAGGACACAGCACTTCATTTAAAAATTATTTTCTTCTTCAAAAACACTGCCCCAGTCTGATTTTATAAGGTAGCTTTCCCTTTTACGCATGAAATCCCAGAGGGTAAGCCCTAGCTCAACACTAGCGTTGTATGCGGGGTTTCTGCAGCCTTGTAATCATCAAGGACAAAGCAGTGCCCTTCCCTCCTCAAAACAAAAATAATTCTGGAGACAAAGAGGGTTTGTTGATGCCACATAATCTGCAATGGGCAGAAAGCCAGGAGCAAGGAAACAGCTGCAGAAGTGCCACCATGAGGCTCCTACCAGTGGTCGGGGAATTTCCTGGAGCTTCGGTTGAAACGTCTCTGCGCTGAGCAGCCGGCCCCAGCCCCTTCTTCCCTCGCAGACCTCTCACCTGTTCTGAGTCTCTACCCGCTCTTGTTTTCCTTCCCACCCCATGGAAACCCCATGTCACTCTTTCTCCTCACCGAGGCAAGGTTTTACTGCTTCCCTGCACTGCAGAACAGGCAATATTTGTTGCCCTCCGATCTTTCCTTCTGCTGTTCCCTAAACCTCCTTCCCCCTCCCAGGGCTATCTTATCGGTGTGCAACTCCTTGGGAAGACGACAGATTTTACCCGGCTGGTCTAGTACCTACCCTGGGAATGCCCCGCTGACAGCCCATAGGCAGTTCTATTTGTAATACAAGCTGATACAACGACACATACAAATAACTACGTTTAGCGCTGATTCCCCTGAGGATTACAGGGTGAGGGCTGCACCACTCCCACAGCTGTGCCAGTTCCAGCTGAACTGAGAGAACAGCTTTACCCAAGCCCACGCAGAGCCAAGGTTTTCCAGCAGGGCCCAGGAGATGGGTGGAGCATCACAAAAGCCTCAGACCCAGGCTGGGACAGGGAAAGGTGAGTGGGCAGCAAGGAAAGGGCCGTCCATCCTCACGGCCACAGCTCCCCACTGCCCAGCCACCTCCCTCTGTCCTTACGCCGGCAATCAGCCCTCTCCTGTGCAGCTCAGCTCCGGAGCCAGCGCTCAGCCTAGCAGCTCTGTGTACGCAGCTCCCAGACCTTTATCCTACATCATTATCATAACATCGCCAGGATGTCGCATTACCTCCAGTGTGTTATTTTACAATACATAATCCTGCTGGTAAATCAAGATAATACCACTATAAAGCGAAGATTATAACAACCTGCTCCACTATGAACAAGTTTTGCATGTAGCCTGAACAACATATTTCCATCACAGACTCAAGTACTTCTATGCTTTAATTTATCACTAAAGTATTTTAGACCTTTGGATAAGTCACCAAATTAAAACCAGGGAGGGCATCCCTGAAGGAGGAGTGTGACACAGAATGACCCAGAGCAGACCAGCAGAAACAACAAATCATTCAGAAGAATGGCAACAAAACCCTTTTTATAGCTGGGGAATTTTCTGAGGAGAGCCGAGGGCTTGCTGTTACAAGTGCCAGAAGAGAACAGGGCCCAGACGTTAGCAAAGCAGGAGACACTCCTGAGCTCCCCTACTCGTACAGCCAAGAAGACAGGAAACACAATCCCACAGAGCATCACTCAAGGTACATTCAGGGAAGCACCCGTAAAGGAGACCAGTCCAACACTGTATCTAATTTCTAGTTTCCCCCGGAGAGGGCAATTCCCTCCACAAGAGGTACTGACAAGGCTACTCCATCTGTCACAGCTCACAGGAGAGGCTCTCCCTTCCTCCCTCCCTCCCACCACACCAGGGAACAGCTTGACTTTGCCTACTGAAATGATTGCAAGGGGGATGCAAGTACACAGGGACGAGGGAGAAACGTGGGAAGCAAGAGGAATGCTTTATGCTACCATCAAATATTAAGAACAAGTTACTTTAAAAGCTAGACATAAATCCATAGAAGCTGGAAAGAAAAAATAATATATAGAAGAAATACAGGCAACCTCTCTCACATCAGAGCAGTAGAATTCTAGACCAGAACATCAGAAGCAGCAGTGTGACAACAATCCTAAGTGGCTCCAGGATGGAAGTGTCCCGAGCTGCAGGGACCACAGGCAGCCAGGCTTCCTAACTCTGTCCTTCAGCCCAATTTCCTCTGCCCCAGCGCTCAACCCAGCAGCTCTGCATATGCAACTCCAGACCTTTATCCTACATCCTTATCATAACATCGCCAGGATGTCATGTTACCAATAAGCAAATAAAAACATTACAGATGAGCAAATAAAACCAAAAATGTCAATATACCACCAAATTTAGTATCAACTGTCAACCAGTTTTAAAGATACATGGTGGGTATGTAAATCTGAAATGCTTAACATGTAAACTTAACCTGGTATGTATTCTTGTTCAGACCTATTTTTAAGTGTTTAAATGTGCTTTGTATATATGAAGTGGTGGTGCTGATCCCTAAGGTCAGTATTTATGCACCTCTATACAGAGTACTACTATACATGTACATGAAAGAACATGATGCTTTCATTTCCTCCTACGTGGCAGATTCACAGGAACTTCTTACTGAAGATGAAAAGGTTCTCAGCTTCACCCACTAAGGTTTAAAAATACCACGTTATTAACTCCTTGGTGCCAGAAGCTAGAACATTACCACTTCAAAAGCAATTTGGAGTTTAAAGCCAAGGAGATAAAGATAAGAGTGGCCTTATTTTTGGTCCTTAGACCTTTGAACTGCAGGGAAGCCTGGAACAGTCCCACTACTTCATGTCCTATATTCTGCATTCCTTTATCTAATGCCACATTCTATATAAAATAACTTTCCCAGTACGTTTGCAATTTTCTGTGGGTCCCCTTTTCGCTCTTCTATCTGTGCTATCTCCCTTGTATCGAGATCAGAGTAAGGTTACTGCAGGATGCAATACAAATCTTACCAACTCTGGGAGTCCCAACTGCTTCAGTGTAACAAGAGCTAACAACACCGTCAATGCCAGATGCCCCTTCACGAAGGTGCCCTGGAGATGGTACAGGGAAAGGTAACCTATGACAAGCCAACATCTGGTCACCTCTTCTTTTGCCAGGAAACAAATCCCCACAGATCATCCAGGGTTAACATACCACCATGTGAGACCATCTGAAGAATCACTGGAATGACAAAGGAATCTAGTTTGGGTAGGTTACCTGCTGCGCTCATTGCCTCAGGAACTGAAATAGCCAGCAGAGACTAGGGACATAACACTTGTCATCACTACAACCCAGTCATTTTTTTCATAGAAAAAAGCCTGCTGCCCTGGGCAGGGTGACATGGTAAGCCTTTGCTTCCTCTCCGTCCAGAAGTGGCATCAGCTGGAAGCTGATCTGCAGATCAGAAACCAAATAACATCTTCGTCAGAAAGGCCTGGCCCTGCTTGAACCCGGGTGGAGACAAATGATAAATCTTTAACAGCAAGATGGCTTACAACCCCTGCTGCGGGGTGGGGATGCTCCTCATTCCTTGATAGTCAGCTACCTCATTAGTGGTGCTTGACAGCTGGCAAGACAGCAAGAAAGCAGGCTCCATTTCCTGTTTTGGCGGGAAAAGGTTCATGAAGAAATAAATAAATCTAGAACTGCCCAAAAATCACGTCAAAACAATTATGCTCTATTTCTTTTTTTCATCAAGAAGTAGTTTGCAGACTGCAAGAAAAAACCCCACCAAACAAAATGGAGTAACAACCCCTATCCTGCTAGGACAGGACTGAAGCTTGATAGAGAAATCCATACTGTTCCTCCAGAAGTGCGCCGCTGGCAGTACTTCTTACACAACTAAGAACAAAGCCAGCCCAGCTGCTGCAAAGTTGGAATCACTCTTTCTAATGATAAGGAAAGCTGCTGAAGAACAATGACAACTCCAGGTGATTGATGTAACTTCTGTGTAAAAAATAATTTAATGTGGCACAGGAAAAAAATCCTGGTACAGAAGTATCTTATTACGTCCAGACTGTCTCTACAATTCTCCAATGGCTGGAGACTATGACACCTGACATGCAGGTATTTACCTGCTTGTGTTCCTCCCCCTGCCTCTCTGGGGTCAACTCAACTTTCGGTTTCCAAGAAAAAAAATACTAACTTGACTTTGCCATAACTAACATCAGTTTATTTAGAAATTTGCTAATGAAATGAAAAATGGAAAAAAGTGGTTAGTAATAGTCTGCTCATTTTTCATTTTAAAGGAAAACAAAAAGAGCATTATTTCAAGCATTCAAGTTGCTGTATGTTAGTACTGGCTAGTCATCTATATAAGCAGATGTACCTTATTATACATCCCCGTAAGCTATTAGCTAGCAGTAAGAAAATAAAATCTGTTTTGAGTACAGACGTAGTTATGTCTCTGTAAGTTATTTTATTGTATTTATGTTATTTAATCCTTTCTATAAACAGATGTACATTACCTGATGAAGTGCTCCTGCTGGCAGAATAATAGCATCACCAAGAAACTGAATAACTGTACAGGTTTTTACTCCATATTCTTCAAGAAGTCTTTGGCGAAGTTTTTTGTTCACATACCAACTCTGATCACGTATTGGATCATGCTCTGGTAAAACTTCTAAGCCTTGCTCTTTTGCTATCTGTAAGGTACAGAAAAGATCCCAGGTCACTTTCAAAAGAAGCTGAACCTTCTGCTGATAAGTCGTAAGTAGACCTAACTTACAAAGCAACGCTACTGTGCTTCCAATACCCAAATGAGAATTTTGGTTAGGGATTCAAAAGAACCTCAAAGGAAGTGGGAAATCCCACTGAACTGAAGGCATCTGCAGAACTCCCACTCCAAAATGTAGAGCTTTAAAGAACACAATAATCTATTAATAAGCATCACATGCTGTGTGAGACTTCTTTCATCAAGAAAATAAAATCTGACCTCAAGAGTTCCAATGATGCCCATTCTTCAAGCTTACAACCTTCAGTTTTGACACAGACACCCCACACCACAATCTCAGCTCAGGGAAAAAGCACCAGATAAAACTAAGGGTCAAGTACTCCTGGGCAACCTGCTCTAGGTGACTCTGCTTGAGCAGGGGGCTGGACAAAAGGACCTCAAGAGGTCTCCTTTCAGTCTGAATCACACTGTGGCATGAAGTTACTTTCCTATCATGCATTAAAGGAACTGGGAAAAAATGATGAACACAAAAAAAAAAAAAAAAAGACTTCCTGACATCGATACACTTAACTGCAGCAACCACTTCTCATCAAGTGAACCACAGGGGAACAAACATTACCCTTAATCAATTCATAATTAATGAACCATACTGACCAAAGGTAAAAAACACATATCAAATCCATCTGTCATGACTCAGGAGACAAGTACCTCATTAAACCCATAGATTTTTATTCATATTGCTATTAAATATACTTCATTATGTGATATAGAGCTTAAAACTGTCCTTGTCACCTTTCTTCTGTACTGAATGAGATACTGAGATTTTATCTCATATTGGCAGGCAAAGTAGTCCTAAGGCCTAGTCATCAACTAATCTCCGATTTAGTTGTTCAAAAATACCACCACACCAAATATTCAAGGCAGTACACAATTCATTCTGGATACCATGGCAAGCTGTGGCAGCAAATGACAAACTTTATTACATCGCGCTTTAGGTGCTTCTGTTTTAAATCCGCTGCTCAAAGAGTTTCACAATATCCCTTAATTGCTCTGAAAGCAGAAATGCTGAATAGTACTCATTGTTCACCTATTCCCTTGCATACAGGACTTTGTTCACAACTCTGTTTTCCAAACTGAAGAGCCACCATCTAATTTTTGAGCATCTAATTTTTGAATGAACAGAAAAGCCTTACTGTATAACATCCTGGAACTAGCTGTATTTTATTTACTAATGCTCATTTTCCCTCACAGTTCAGCTTGCCAAAGCGCAAATGTTGGAGTCACCAGAGGACAGCCGCCCTGGGACTGAAACACTGCCCTATTGTCCACGAGAATCTTTACCGAAACATTTCTTAGGCTCTGCCTGCTCGCAGTTGAGCCCTTCACCACCAGCCTGTTTATGGACCCCTTTGGTCTATACAGTTAAAGCTCAGTGGAGACTTCTTTTCCTCAAGCAACCATTTCAGTGATGTTTTGGTATTTCTATGCCATCCGTCAAGACTGCCTTCTAGAACATGAAAACATGCTAACGACAGGGCACAGGAAACTGCTTCCAAGATAGTATCTCTAAATTTAAAGCCATTGATGACTATCAATGGCCCAGGGCTGGATCTTCATCCTATATGCTAAGTAACGACCTCAAAGGTTCTGATGTGGCTCTAACTTGTTCATCACATGCTGCTGAAGGAAGCTCTGCACTGGAGCTGATGCTGAAAAAGATTACTGCCCTCGGGTACAATACCCCCCCCAACTGCTTTCATCTTCACCAAGAGCCAAGGCATGTTCTTTGAACTAACCGACGTGACACAGAGTCCTGATGAAGATCGGTGGCTGCTAGGTTGCAAAGTCAGGGGTTTTCACATTCACAATTCACAAAAATTTCAGTATCTGATAATGCAAGAATGGATCAGTGACAGAAAAACATTATGCTACAAATTATCCTATACATTAGAGAGGACAAGAATAGATCTCCATGCCCTCCTGGGCTTTCAGAGTTGACAGGCTACCTGTAACTCTTTAGAAGTGAATATGTAACGTGTTACATATTTTATTTGTTGATGATGTAGCAGGTCAATGACAATTTTTTTGTGCTATAAAGGAAAGAATTTTTCTTCCTTCTCTTCCCTAAGGATAAGGGTGGGGTTTATGGTTTTTGCCAGCCCCCTTTGATTTATCAGTTGCTTAGACTGTATTTATGAAATACATATAATAAGGCTAACCTTTTGCAAAAACTCCCTTATCTTGTCAGCATCTTTGCCAGCATAAATGTGCCATAAAGCACCAGGTAATTCACTTGAATCTTTCAACCTCTTCCTTAAAAGGTCATCCAAATCTTCCTCCTCAAACTTCTTCAAAACGCCTAAGATTCAAGAAAAATATTTTTTAAAAGTGAGACAGAGAAAAAATTTGAATACCTTCTTTTCAAATTTCTTGTGTAAGACTGAGCAGATAAAACTTTGCTGAACGCAACAGAAGTCCCCAGGTGATATTTCTGTTTGGTGTTTGTAATTAGGTAGTAGAACATGAATGCCATGAACACCTTCAAAACAACATTTAATTTTTAATTTTTTTTACATTTCTTGAATTTGATAGAACACATTCTCCTACCTGAAAAAATCAAGCAGGCCTGGCACCAAAAATTAGAAGATTAAAAAGGTGTTTTCCTGCAGTCAGCAAAAGCAGTGTTTTGCATGTTGTTCTGCAGCAGCTAGTCAAGAAGCTAGAGCTCTCCCCATACACTCAAGTTTAGATGCTACTAACACAGTGCATACACAAGTGAAAACAAAGCAAGTAACAGACAGCAAACCTTACTGCAGCTCTATTAGTCACACCCAAGATCTACACCTGCTGATTATGGAATAAGAGGACAAAAGAATAAGAGGAAAGAAACAAACCTATTTTAGTGATTTAAAGACTGTTTCACATAAGCAATAAACAACATACAGACAACTAACACACACCAATTTAAGCTATCCGGTGCTTTAAAATTACATTCTGGTCCAAATCCAATAGAGCAAACACAGTGCATCCAGAGGGACCAGAATAAACAGAAGGTTTGGCAAATACATCATCCTGACATAACTGTTAGAACTACCACAGCTTCCAGAGAAAATCTCTCATCCTGCACTTCCATTAGCTCTGCCAGCCCAGCACAGCAATGGTACATGAGTTATAGGTAACGACAGAAAAAGTGAAGATGGTTTGAAATACCACTTAATAATTCATGAACTGTAGTGTATTTTATGCAGAATTAACGTGTGTGCAAATTCTTGAAACAAAGAATCTCCCAGGTTTAAGCAAGTACTTATGGTTATCTTTCATCTGCTTCAGAACAGTGTCAATTTTAGAAGCAGCAGATCATTCAGTCCATCTACACCTCTTACAATGAGCTTCCCTTTACCTGACTTGGAAAGTACTCCATTTCCTTTCGCTATGCCAACATAAACAAGGATGTTCACAACATCAGAAACTTCAATATGGAGGTTTGTGGTTCCTATATCATGGTCTTTAGTAGCAGCCACACCTATGTTACAAGATAAAATCGAGATCTGTTGTATTGCATATTCACACTCAAATAGAAACATGCAACAGCTAACTGAGAAGTTATTTCTCAAAGGACCCTAAGCATCACAGAAAAGCATTTTACATACAGGAAGGCTTTAATGTGAAAATACTGAGATATACAAACTACAAACATGATTTTGTTTCTCTTGCTAACAAGAAAATGTTACTTTTCAACAGAGACCTTCAGATATCTCTTAGCCCAGGTAACTGTCCCTACGGAGCACTTGTGTCAGAACAACACACATTTCAGCAGAATAATCAAAGACATTTCCTGACCACTACATTACTTTCCAACCTTTCAGGTTGCTGAGGGCAGAATGTAAGTACAATGAATACACAAAGTTATGGAATCAAATGTGTCACTTTTATGCCTAACTGCAAGCAGAGTTCTTAATCAAAAGAAATCCCCAAAGAGGAAAATTAATGTTACTTCTAAGAGGTGAAAATATACATGCCTAAGTCAAAAGGACATTTGTGAACACTAAGCCTTGCAGCAGCATTACATGAAAGTGTAACTAATGATTCAGTTCTTCAGACCCATGCCTTGATCACTATTGTTAGTATGTTTATTTCAGAGGACATCTGGAGAACTTTCAAAATCAAAGCCATCATGCCACAAATTACAACACATTTCTTGTCCTATTTCAACAATTTGTAAAACAGAATTGAACTGATTTGTTTGCAAAAGAAGGAGCCACTGGAAAAGGTCTGAAACCATCTTTTCTAAGCACGTTTTTTTTCCAGCATACAATACAAATACAATTTATGAGAAATACACTGAGATTTATTTATGACCAGAATTATGAACACAGTAATATTTAATTAAGTATTTTGTCTTACAGCATTGTTAAAGACAGATCTGTCCTTGTGTAAAAGTAACCCTAACCAGTCATGTGATTGAGAAGACTGTAACAGGAAAACACAGAAAATACCACAGAAGCAAATAAACTGTCGTGCCTGAGGTGCATGTACTGTTAGTATGCAAGTCAATCAAGTGCTTCTACATTCAGCACAATTACCCTCCAAGCAAGCTCAGCTTTCCATCAAGCACTATAACATGGGATATTCTACATTTCTAAGGGAAGAGGTAACTGCTACCCTTCTAGGGCATACTCACCATATGCACTGCACAGTCTAGGTCCCAAATCTGGACGGACAAAAAATCCTGGCAGATGAGAAGCCAAGTTTAGTTTTCCTTCTGGACTACAATATTCTGGCAAGGGTAAACTTTTTAATAAATCCTCATATCTAGAGGAGATGAGAAAGAAAAATGTAATTGAATGTGCCATTACACAGACAGAAAGAAAAACAACACAGAGATGGACTTAAGAACATCTAGTATTAAACTCAAATACCTTGCTGGCATCATAGCCTTGAAATCTTCACCAGAAGGCCAATCTTTCAGTTTTAGTAGAGCTGTTTCCCCATTTTTTATTTTCTGTCGTTCTGCAAGTAACATAGAAATTACTAAAACCTAATACACTGTAGGTGTTTTACTTCTTTCAACTAAAATATATAACTGAACTCTTAACCTGTATAAAGATTTCACCCAGAAAACTGAATATAATTGATTTTCTGACTCAAGAATGATACAAAACAAACTCAACTAGGTGAGGAAAAATGGCATTTTGTTAGGCTTCTTAGTCAGACCTAACTAGCATATAGTGCATCTTTAATTATTCAAAGGTACAAAACGCAGGTTTCCATCATGTTCTCTGGAAACACCTTACCTAGAGCTTTTTTTTTAAATTAAAGTTTCTTCAAAGCCTCAAGATCCATAAAGAATATTTTTAACTGCAGTTTCCAACATTGACAATGTTCAGAAGCAATGGAAAAACACAAAAACACATTTAAAATCACATACTTGAAACATCTTCAAAACCATCCCAGAACTCCTTGACATTGGCGTTTGAAATAATACTGTCTTTGCAATTCAAGATATCAGCTTGTTGGTTTCCAAAATCTAAACTAATTGACTCAGCTTTCCACAGGCTGAAGTTCATTTTCTTATGCATACCAGATACTAAAACAGGCTGTAAAAAATAAAATAAAGTAAAATTTAAAAATCAATACTTATCCTTTTGAAAGCAAACACCTCCTTCAATAAAAGTGGAGTACAAATCCATCTTGAACACGCACTGAAGAGCTTGGCCCTACTGAGCTGTTAACGCTTCCTCTAACAGCACTCATACCCAAGGTGTCATACGCACATCTTTTTGGAATTTGAATCTCAGTAGCAGTCATTTCTTATTTATTATTAGCAGTTAACTGAAGTTTGAAATACACAAGGCTTTGTTTGTGGGCTATACCTGACAAGCTTTTGCCCGCTGTTAACAATACATTTTCAAACACGAAGTTGGGCAAATTTGTCCTTTAACACTATTCCCCCAGAGTTCATACTAGTCACTTTACAGACCACATGGCTCACTACCTACCCGTCCTTGTCTCCAGCACTCTTTGAAGAGCTTCCAGTTGTTGTTGTTCTTATGGTCTCTGAGCCACAGAACATGCTTATCACAGATCCACGAATACTGAATATCGCTGTACAGTTTACCGCAGTCATCCGGAATGCATCTTCTATCCTCCTTTGGCTCATCTTTTATTTCAGATTTTACATTTATCTTTGGTGCTCTATTTGGTGGAATCTTGTTTTCTACTACTGAAGCAATTATGTCATCAAGAATGTTTGGCATAGTCCTTCCACTCTTGCCACTCTATTAGAAAATAAACAAATGCATGCTCAAACAACATAAAAGCAAATAAAGCTAATGCAATTCTTTTTGCAGTAGAATAACAACATTTCATTACCAGTGAGAAGCTTGCAGTTATCTACTTCCTTTGTAGAAAACAGCATGCATTATTACACGGAAAAAGCTAGAAATATACAGTTATCACAAAACTCAATATATTGGAATCCTCCTTTACTTTGTCAGGTTAAGGCCTTCTCTAACTTCATGGACATTTTCTTCATTGTATGTATCAAATATCACTATATGTATGTATATTAAAAAATAAATAAAATGTTAATGTAAATGTGTGTTTGTGTGTCTGTGTGTATATTAACTATAAATGAGTATTTAAAGCAATACAGCTATCAGACTGCACTATCAGACTGCTCCAACTATAATGTACCGAAACAAATCATAAAGGTTTTCAAATCATGATGTAAGATCCGTGTGTCTTCTGAACACTTACTGCTGTTCCTGTAGAGTAAACCGGAGCAAAAGCAATGCCAGCATCTGTAGAACCCAGACGCAGTTTGCCTGCTGTTGTAGTTAATAAATCTCGTAAGGTTGAGCCCTGCTCATTGTTCTGGGATGCAGGAGGGCAGCTCTTACAGTTTTGGGACTCCAAATTATCCTGGTCTTTCTCTTCCTTTGAGTGTTTTCCAGAAGGACATTCTTTGTTCTCTAAAACAAAAATAATCATTGGAAGTTTACACTGTGGGATGACGATGCAGACATTGGGACAGCATCAGTATCCTTTATTTTATAGTGGTGGTAATATACTGTAGCACTAGCACTTTATTCACCTGAAAACACACCAGAGGATGAACTAGATCCTTCAAAATGCAGTCAAAGAGTGTGACCATGAAAAGGCCTTCCTCAGCATCTCAGACACGCAGCTGAGTGAGTACCTGTCACAACAGAGAGATGCTGTAGCTGGAAATACTCCCACATTACACATACATTCCTCTAGTGGTTCTTCTGGCAATAGATTCTGACGCCACCAGGAGAAGGCATCGCAGTTTCATGATTAAAATTAAGGAGGAAAAGAACATAACCTTCTCTTTTTGTTGAACAGGTAACAGTATGAAATCTTCCTAATTAATTCAATTATGTATCACGGGTGCCCCCAAAGTCATGGACATGATATGACAATTTCAAACATATACCTTTCTTTTCCTCTCTGGCTTTCTGCTCAGCAAGGTCAGCTAACCAATGCAGTGGTGACTGGGATTCAGGTGGTGATAACTTGCTGTCTGTGCTTACATCACTCCTTGGACTTGCATTACCATTTGTCTCAGACTTTTGAGGACTACTCTGCTGTTGAGACTCAGGCATGCACAGAGAAATTTTATTACTGTGGTTAAGGACATTCTGCAAAACCTGTGAAGAACAAATTTATTTTTAAGTATATAATTTTGCTTTAATGTATTTCAAAGACAAGGTTAGCATTTAAACATCATATATGCAAATTAAAATGCAACTGGTACTATTAAAATATAAAAATACACAAGAATCAGAACACCTGAGAAAACTGCAGTGTATACACACATTTTAGACTCACCTGAGTCACGCCATTCATTGCAGGGAGCTTGCCAGCTTGTGTGCTCTGCTTGCTGGTACACTGACAATGGGATTTAATTTCAAATTTTTCTCTAATATTGTGCATAGCATCTAAAAGATCTGTCAAAACTAGAAGACAATTAAAAAGAAAACCATCAGCAGCTCTCAATAATTTTGTGATCCTCTCTACAATACACACACTGTGATGCTAAAATACTATCTGCAAACCTTTTTTAAAATTTAAACTATTCAAAATGCTAAATTTAACACTCAAAAATACTACTAAGAAACTGTCCAGTTTACCTTAATGCTCATGCAGAAAGAGACAAGGCCTTAAATTAAATAATTGCACACTACTCCTATAAATAACCTAACCTTCACTCTGCATTCCCATTGCATGGCACACACCAAGCAAGGCAGTCATTCATTATTTATTCCTCATTGTTCAATGGGTGCATCATTGCTTCCTTTAATAAAACCATCAAACTACATACTGAAGTGAGCCACATCTCGACAAAAATCATTAGTACATGATTGTGTAATTTAAGGCTCTTTGGTAATGGGTATGCACAGAAGAACAAAGCAGAAGAAGAAGAACAGGCAGTCTTCACCGTGCTGTTTCCTGATGAGTGGTTCACTTCACAATTTAAAATTAAAACCAGTTTCAGTCTGGAACCTGTTCTGGGGAATGTCACAATTTGAATTTATTAAGGAATCTAACCAACCTTCATTTCTACCTGAAGTAACATGCAACAACCCATAAAATAATCACTGGGTCTGTATTTCCAGCTTAAAATAACTTGGGAATTTACTTAACAAGTTTAAGGGTACATTTGAGTTTTCTGTTCTCTGCTCTGCATCAATGCTGCCAGAGATGACAAGTAAAAGTTGTGCTAATGACAACCACCACACCTAACCACACTTCTTCATAAAACTTACTTGGTTCTAAGAAAAATTCTGAATTTAGCTAAATTTAGGATTAGTGCTTAAGTTCTTCATTTATCACAAGCTTTTTTACTGTGTTTTGCTTTAAGCTGCTCTACCAGATGTCCAAGCAAAACCACACACGAATACTTTCTTTTGGGTGGTTGGGGGGGACAGAAAACAGTGAAAAACAAATCCCCAAAATCTGCTGCCACGTAGCTCCTTGGCAGTACTATTCTAAGATTTTCTTTTAACAGCCAAGGTCAGATTTATTAAGTACATTCTGGATGTTTTATTCTGCTCTAAGAAGGTACAAAACAGCCATAACAAACACACTGCATTTCTTCACTGCCAGTCTCCAAAACCCCTTCAGACATCTGTCAACATACTCCTCTTTCTCTCTTAATTATCTGTGCCCCTTGCTGTTAACTGCCCAGAACCACTTGCTTTCCTGTGATGATTTGACACAATTCGCAGGTTTTTAAAAGAAAAACAAGAAATTTCAAGAAACAACTCTGGTCTCTCTTCACAGAAAGACCTGAAAAAAAAAAACACATCCTGCTTGTTTGCAGGTGGTCTTACCAGAGCCTGGAATAATCTGTGTCGGCATCAGGTGTTTGTGATCATGAGGCTGTCCCTTCACACACTTCATCCAGGCATATAACTCCTTATCTGCAAAATAACATTACCAAGTATTTTACTGTACTTACAGTGGTACACACACAGAACTAGCTAACATTTTTCAGATTTGTTTCAGTTAGAAACTCTTTTCTACACATACTGTAAGTCTTCTGTCCTGAGATCCTGTGTGACAAAGGTTTGCATACGACAGATACTTTTCACAGTAAGAAGAAAAGTTTTAACAATACTGAAATTGAAATCGCTGCATCTGTAACACAGACCCTTGCTAACAACCTCCAAGTTTTGGAGTATATTCCCTTTATTACATTTAGTGAGTTGCCAATTAAGAACAAGCCAAAAATCCTTCACACTTGTTACTGAGGAGTGAGACTCCCTTGATGAATTTTAACATGGAAAAGAGACAAAATTAGGCTGCAATTATATGTTTAATTTAATTTGACACAATCCACGTTCCAACTGAAAGTGGCTGTCTTCAACCAGAGAGGGCCAAACAAGCCAAAAAGATGGAACTTGAAGTGAATCAACCCTCTGATTTGGCCTACCATGCAGCTCACTGATGTTACTGGTGGCACAAAGTAGAGGGAAGGTGCATCATGGATTTATCTCAGATTAAAGCAACCATGAAAACACAAGTCTGTATGTACTGGTTGAAAATTATCTGTGGCAGCAGAGAGGGCCTAAGTAGTAGGAGAGAGGGGCCTTCTATAAGGTTTCAGTAAGACCACCCCTGCCAGAAAAATATGCAGTGTAAAGACAAGAGAGAAAAAGAACAACAGTAAAAAATGCCTGGCCAGGCAAACTGGTCACTAATCCACTATGTGACTCTGGGGCAGAAATAGGAATGCAATTCCTCTCTCAACCCCAGTCTTGTATCCTAGCCACTGAACTGACAGTTTTAAGAGACTCATCAAATCTTAGTTTTCTCAGCTCTAGCAACGTAAACTAGGGAGTACGCTAAGGAAGCAATTAGCTCATTTAAAGCACTATTTTCTTACACTTTAACAGATACACAATGTACTCAATGTTCCTTTCAGATAAATATTAATTTGGTAGCTATTTTGTAGTTTTTGTAATTCCTAGAACATTGAAAAATGTAACTGGTCACAAACATCAATCAAATGAAAACCGAAAACAGCATATATCTACTTAACATATTTTATCACTGAAATGCCATAACATGGCATTCTACTTGATGGTGCCATGAACTGTCTGAAGGTAACAATGGATGCACATTCATTCAAGTAGTGAGGCTATGAGAGAAGCCATTGATAAATATCTGAATATGGAACATTTAAACCTCTAACATTCCTCCTGAAGCAGGGGGAAACCAGTGTATTCTCTGTTACATTTAGCAACTGTAAAAACAACTACCGGTTCCAGGAAAAATGGTGTAATATAAAGTGCTATTATATAGAGATGGGTGGGTGGTTCTGAACTTTGTAAGAGAGTGCCAAAGGAAAGATACAGGTCACACGAATCCTACAGTATCATTAGATATAAAGCCACAGAGAGAGAAGCTATCGTACTTCTGCTTTGGCACATGATGTTGTGATGAACAGTAAGGAGAAAGTCTCCTTGTTAGAAGACTGAAAAGAAGCCTACTTCTGTACACTGCTTTTTTAAGTTTTGAAGACATTTTACTAAAATTTTCCTGGCTGGTTAACCCGCACACTATAAAAAGCCTCTGACTGCCTTTGCTCACTAGGGGAAATAACGTTCGGCGGGTATCCCAAGCCATGTCAGATGGATGCGCACACATGCGCACACACAGACTCCAGCCACTTAATAGATGCTGAAGCAGCCTCCAGCATTAAAACATTAACAACTGTTCTTGGTGTTGGAAAACACTAACATTAGTTCCCCAGAAACTTCAGGGTTTGATGGAAGCCTCTGGGAATATCCTATAACCGCAGCATAGGAGGCCTCTCACTGCAAGCCAAGGACAACATGGTTGATTCTCTCCATTTATCCAAGATTTGCTATCTAACAGTTAAACTTTATTTTACTAATATTTCACATCTGTGACACTCTGCAGCTACGACAAACATGAAAATTCTTTTCAAAACAGCATTATAGTTCAATCGGTTCCTGTTGCAGTGTTTGATCACACAATTGTGCCAGGGCACAATGCCTGCCACCCAGGGGAAGGCAGCCCGAGCACCAATGTCACAGCTGAGGGCTGCACAAGCCCTTTCAAGCCATTCTTCCTTCCTACTGCAACCAGGCTGAGTCACTCAGAAATAACAGGTTTGCAAGTCAGTCCTGTTACACTTCACTACAGACTAAACTAGACATTTCCATTAAAGCACAGGAATTAGATTAAACTGAGTACGTGTGTAGGCTGCTGGACTGTGAAACCTCCATTAATGTTCATCTTAAAAACTATTTGAAGTATTTTTCTCCGTCTTATTTTTTTAATAATAAAAAAGTAGGCTGTTAAGTCAGTATGACAAACCATGTACTTCTGAAGAAGGACTCCAGAAAGCACTCTAATCAAGGCAAGCCTTAACAGCAATGAGTTACCAAAAAGCAGGCAAGTGTAATGGGAGTGCCAGTCTCACAGCTGAAGAACAAGACTTAACCTTGAGGGGCAAGGCACAAGCAATCCAACACAACCCACACAAAAAGACTGAAAAGCAGACAAAGACCTAAAGCAGCCCCACAGCAACTGCTTTCTGAATGACTGATTCTGCAACTCCTGACAAAAAAGAGGTGAAAAAGATCTAAGAGAAACCAGAACACACAAGCAGTAATTTAACACTTTACAGAAAGGCAGTTACACTAGTGGATCAGCAGCTCTACAACAAATGAGAATAAACAGCCTATACAATACTCTAGTTCATAAAGAACTGACCTCTAGAACTTTTTCTTTCCTTTGCCTTGTAACAATCTAGGCAGACCACAAATCCACATTTTTGGCAGACCCAATGAATGTTAAATAATGTGGCTTCGCATGCATCACACATCTCACGGACTCCTCTCACTGCTCTCTTCCATGCAATTTTGGCTGAAATACAAAATAAGTAGAATAAAAGGACTGAAAATTTAAATGCAAAGCACAGAATGAATAGTTTTTATAGATGAAGCACTCGTAATTTTCCCCTCAGACGCAACTGGGGGGGTGGGAATGATCCTTCATAAATAGACTATTAACACCTACCCCTCAGTTGTGCTACACAGCAACCCCATCAATACTAGTATATCAACATACTATAAAGAAATTAAAGCATCCAAAAAACAGACTAAAGTAACACAGAAAGAATATTCCTGCTCAACATGAGCGGGCTGTAAGTACGAAGAACAACTCCTTTAACATATACTTTTAACTCCAGGTAATGAAGAGAGCTGGGTTTTTCACCTGACTGCCTACGGGATGTGTTTAATCTCAAGGGCAGCCAAACTGGTGAGTCAGACATTAAAGTAAGTCAGCAGGAGAGGAGGGAGGTGCCTATCCTGGAGTCCTGGCTAGTACTTCTGCTTTCTGCCCCACCTCCTCCTCCTACTGCCTGGAATTAGTGGAGCCACAAGCCCATTTCCAGCCTGTGCCCATCTGCCACAGGCCAGAAGGACAAACTATGGTTTTGCTGGGGAGGAGGCAATGGTGTTAGCACAGGCTCTATGGGGACCATGCTATCACGTTATTCTCCTGTGTTTTGGGAAGGAGACACGTCAGAAACACGTCTGTTGGCAGGAGCCGGTACCTGGCTCGCTGCAGGCCTTGGCTTGGAGCTGGCCGCTCTGGCTGGAGGGCTGGAGGCCAGGCTGGGAACTGAGGTTGCTCCAATCCCAACAGCACCCTGGCCCCAGCCCAGCCACCAGCACAAGGAGAGGGAACAGACTGGCCCCACTGAGGAAGGTCCTTGCCCCTTCCCGACATTCCGTCTTACAAAATAGTCTAGGAAAATCCAACACCACAGTCTGGTGAAGTGAGCTACTCGAAAGGAAGCAATGGGTCATGATGAACGCAAACACTCCAGTAAAACTGCTGAACAGTTGAGAGCATTTGACATTTCCTTACCATCTTTTTTCACCCAGGACATGGCTGTTTTCTCAGATGTTACTAACTGACAAAATTTATCACCTATGATATCTAGAATGTATTTAGAAGTTTCTAGGTCCAGTTCATCATCTTCATAGTTTTCATGTGTCCATAAACTCAGTGCTTCATCATCATATTGATCAGGAGATGAGAAACCATCTATTCTAACTACTCCATTCTTACTAAAAGATAACCTAAAAATGAAAACAGACATTTTAACTGCATATATCATTATACTCTGTGCTTACCATTTGCTTGCTAATTTACCTTATTGCATATGTATTAAAACAAGTAACTTTCCTTTACCCTCTTCAGCGTCCTGTCGTATTTTTTAATTTAAAAAGAAATCCTACTGCCAAAACTGGTTTCAAAGTGAACATTAAGGAAGGATGAAAACTAAAACTAACTTTCTAGGCACTTTTTGCATTCAGTTTACTCATCATTGGCTCTCTGTAGCATTTATTACAGCTTTAAAATTGCAGAAAATAAAGTATCTTTTTTTTTTTCCCCCCAACTTTGGTTCCACCTATTCCTTACTTTTAATTTTTAGAGTGTCTGTGACAGCAATCACTCAGTCTGACTCATATTTTATAGACCTCTCTATCTTACCGCTTTCATTCACAAAACAGAGGAGTTTGAACACTATATTTAAGTCTTTCTAGGCAGAACAAATACTAATACAAGACAACATTCTTGTATCAATTTCTGACATTCAAAATAACTAAAGGCTTTCCTGTTATCCTACTCGAAACCATTCCACCAACAATGGCTATATTTAGCCTATTTTTAAGCAGGAACAATTATTTCATCTTGCATACTACAGGATAATTCACTGTACATATGCAATTATTATAATAGTTAAGGAATTCTACAGCAAAGCCTGTAAAATAGACCCAAACTGAGAACTAACTACCAAAAAAAGACCTTTAGAAATGTATTTAATGAACAAGAAAAAAACTGAAGTTATGACTGCCAAAAGTAGCGCAAACTTAATTTACAATTCAAGCCCTAATATCTAAGCACAATGAAAATAACTGAACTGCTGTAAAATTTACAATATATTCAAAACATTCAAATGTTTAAATTCCATAACTGTCTTTTAAAATACTGACAAAACTTTTATCACTTATGTTCTCTCCTTTATACAGGAGAAAAACCCCAGACTTTTACACACATTAGGAAGCAAATATTCCCACGCAGAAGGTATTCCAAGTCCAACCCTGAAATTACTCCTGTAGCACTACCCAGTTTGCAACTAAAGCTTCATTATAAAAAATTAAAACTCAATCTAGGGAACAATTTCCTTTCCAAAACAAGTTGGATATATACTGACAACACAGCCCACGTGCAAATTAAAGCTGTTTTGTTCTGTCTTGACAGCTGTGCTGCTTGCGCCACGTATGCCATGCTGCATCTTGGGAAATTTTTTTCCCCACTTGCGAGTTTTCCTTGACTGGCCATTAATTGTGAAAAAGGAGGTGACAACTCCTTTGTCCTCAGAAAACTCTGAGAAAACCTTGTGCAGCATTCCCGCCATATACTGGCATAAGAACAATTACAATTAAGTGCAACTCTGTGGTTGTACAACTTGTCCAGAATAACTGAAGCTTGCCTTTTGAAAATCCCACTTCAAATGTCAGACACCTGTGTAATAGTGGTGTGCTGTATTTTCTGCTTGCCTGAGGTACACTGGGCAGCTGTTCTCATGTCTCTGCTCTAAAGCTTCAAACAGCAATGAAGTCAATCCACAAAAGAACTAAGAAATACAAATGTAAATACTGTTAAATTAGACCGTGTCTTTTATCAGGCAGACTGACCCAGCCAGAAAAATCAGACAAGCTTTCAAGCATGCATGCAGTCCTTTGTCAGTATTATCTTTAAAAGCTCAAATACCACATTATCAGGAGAACAGCTGTACTTACCGCCGAAAGTAGTAAAATCTACAAAATACTGGTGAGTGAGTTGGTTCTTCTCCTTTCTTACTTCTTATTAACCTACATTCTCTGCATTTTTGTAAATTTGGTCCTATTTCAGAGCAAGAATCATCCTGCAAAAAGGACTCTCCTGTTTGTTTCAGCTTCTTTACTTTGCGCCAATCTTTTAACACTGAGCGAGGTATACCATCTACAAAAGTAAAGAGAGTTTCAGATGAGGTACTCGCAGCCCTTTTTCACAGAACCCAGTCAAATGAGTCAGCATTCAACATTTCTGAAAGCACATTCGTTACCTGCGTAACATATTTCATTATTACCTCCATTTCTCTGCCTGTCAGCACTGAAGTTTAAAAAGCATAGCTACCAATTAGACTTGCGGAGGCAGGAGCACAGTTAACTACTTGCTGAGCTACCCACAATACCTAGGACACTGCATTTTCTCTTATATTAGGTGTATCATTCACCAAGTATTCCACTAAAACAATCTTCAGAATCTCCTTCTTATAAAATAAGCAAAGAAATACAATACCCCAAGAAAGAAAGGTTTGAATTCCATTTAAAGTGAAGATGTATGCAAAAAAGGCAACAATTTAATGAATTAATGTAGAGCTTAAAAAAAAAAATCCCACTTCTTCAAAAATTATTTTTCCTGAGGATTACAAATATGATTACAGAAGAGTAACTGTATTCACATGTAACTCCTCTGAACTTAATGTAAAATATCTGGCTAAGGAAGAACAGAATCCATTTATTCTCTTATTAAGTTTGTTGGCTTTGCCAGGCTAAGCAATACAATTCTATTTTCAATATGAAAGTTGGCAGATCTGATGCTGAGTAACACGAGGAGCAAATCTGTTGAGTAATATGTGCAATTTTCACATACACATTTTGAAAATGAACCCTGTTGTTATTTAATCAGGCTTTCATTTTAATAACTTTTAAGGGTGGCACCCGTTTTATCTGCTGATAGATAGAGGTATCTGTCATTTCATCTACCACTACTCTTGAAAGTTCATGTCCTGTAAACAGGGATCTGATATAGGATGATAGAGATGTAAGGGTGTTAACTTTGGACTTGGTACCTGGGTTCAGATCGGTATTTTGCCAGAGGTGACTTGTGCAAACTTTGCAAGTGACACACTATCTATGTCTCA